GGAGGTGGTTCAATGTTATAATTTTGGAGGCTAATTTTTGCATTATGAAAGTATCACTAATCCACTTTCTTTTCCCTCTAAATTTTCTCATTTTTATACAATGTAAGGGATTTGGAGGGATAGCCAATCCTTTCTTTTCTCCTCAAATCCTTCCATCCAAACATAACATTTTTTATCCTTTCTTTTTTCTTTTCTTTTCTTTTCTTATCCCCCAAATAGATTCCTGAGCCAGTGTTTTCAAAAAAATATTCTGATTCTATGTGGATAGCTTTTTAATGCTACAATTTTTTTTTTCTTTTATGATACATAAAATAATTGAATATGCCTGATAGTAAACATTACTTATTATTTTCCTTTATTTTAAATTTGAATTGATGAGAATCATTTGTTTATTCTTAATAAATCACAGAACTTGTTGGTTTCTCTTTATTTTGATTAAGTTTAACCAAATTGAAGTGTCTATTTTGATGGAGTCGATGGACTAATGTGATTTTATGTTCACTAATTGCAGAGAAAGGAAAGGAGCAAAAAAGGAGGAGTGATAAAGAGAGAAGGGAAAGAGCCAAATGATAAAAGGGCTGGAGGGGAAAGGAAAGAACCATTGGCTGAATCCACTGAGGAAGCTTTCCTGCAACTGAATAGTTTGTGAACCCCGAGTTAATGACTTTGGTTGAATTTGCGCTTTAGAGTCTATATTAAAAAAAATTATTTTCTATGTCACCTCAAATGTTCAATGGATAGCTATTTAATGCTACAAACACTTTCTTTTCTTTACATTATTTTTTTTTTTATCTAGAACAGTGAGAGTTAATTGTTATTTATGATAAATCACAAAATGAAGCATTTTCTATTTATTTTGAACAAATTTGACAAAATTGAAGTGTCAATTTTGATATGCTACATGCTAGTATGATTGTATTTTAAAGTATATTATTATTATTTTTGTAAGATTATTAAGAAGTGCAAGGTGATGATGTGATGTCTTTCAGGATTTCTTATCCTTTAAATTTATTTATTTATTATTATTATTTTTTAAGGCGTCTTCTAATAGCTAGGATTTTTTTCATGTACGTTGTGGGGGTGGATTTCTTTTGTGGTTTATTCATGATCATTCATTTTGTGTGTGTAATACATGTCAATGAATACAAAAGAAAATTAAGATTTTTAACAAATTGAATCTATCATGAATGCGCTTATTGTGATATAAATACGTTTCCTCGATTGTACAATCCAGAGTTCAAGATACGAATTCATGGTGAGATATTTTGATGGACTATTTAAGATTTTTTTAAGTACGTCCATATAAGACTCGATAGAGTTATTACGATATTAATAAAGTTGTCTCCATTTATAATTGGATCTTTTTTCGATCCCAAATTTGTCGGAATTTAATCCACCCAAACGAAGAAATAAATAATAATATTTAACTTTTAATGTGAATGAGTAAAGGTGAAATTTACTAATTTAGGATCTATTTGGTTTGTAATTTTGAAAACAGTTCTCAGAAGGATAGGAAATATAAAACTATTTTTAAAGAACTATAAATGGAAAGTTCCTTAAAAATAGATCGTTTTATACTGAATTTTTAAAAAACTGAACCAAACATAATTTTTGTTCAATTTTTTAATTATGATCACACAATACACCATAAACATTCTTCAACTTAACCAACATCATCTTTAGTCTTCCCACAAATTAAAGAATTGAGGCTAGGTGAAAATTTTATTTTGGATACTTATGCATGGCTAATTTCTGTTATCTTAAACCTTGAGAACAAATTGGATATACTAAGACATCAACATGGAAGGGTCTAAGAACATAGAAACCAAACCCAGTGGCTAATTTTATTTAGCTTACATTTTTATATCTAATTTCAGCTTCTTCTTATTTTTTCATGGATACATACAAATTAAAGATACAAATAAATAAATAAATATATTATATTATATTATATTATATTCCAAAGGTATGGAGTTTAAAAGCTTGTAAGATTTGTTATATAGGTAGATACAGGTCAAATTGGGACAGGTCATGTTTGGAAATGAGTCCGTTTACTGTACCAACTCTGACCCAACTAAAAAATATATTACACATTGTTTGGCTGCTTTCATAACTCCAAGCAAATGAACAAGTCAGGCCTTTGTCCATATATGCTGAGCCCATAGCCCACTTAGCAACCTGATAAACCTAGACAAACAGAGGCGGTGGGGATTAGAACTGTGTGTTGGTTAGTTTGAAAAGAAGGAAAGGAATGGAGAACAGAAATGAGATGAAGAAAAGCATGTGGCTCAGAAAGGTGGAAATAAAGAAAATAGAGAAGAAGAACAGTAATCAGGAGTAAGTCCTGTGTACGGGCAAGAAAGATGAAGAAGAAAAAGGGTTGTTAGGTCGGAAAGGGGTTGGTGGGACTTGGAGGTTGATCAACTAGGGTTGGATGAGCTTGATGATTACAGAATTGCATTGGAAGGGTTCAGGAAGAATGTTCTGGCTCGGGCTGATGAGTTGGCGGCGGCGAGGGCTTGTTCATCTGATGAGATGTCCATTGCAGCGGCAGCGGCAGCGGCGAGTTCTTGTTCATCCGATGCGGCGGTGAGTGCCTGTTCATCCGATGCGGTGGTGAGTGCTTGTTCATATGTTGATTTTTTAGGAATGTTTTAGAATTTGACTTCACGGAGGGTTTTGAGTTGATTAATGATTAGGGTTTTTTTTGATTTGGGCAGGCTGATTTTGATATATAAATTGAATTGTATAAATTGATTTTGTATAAATTGATTTTGACATTGAATTGTATAGAGACAGTTTAATATGTTAATTTCTGAAAAACCAACTTTCTCTCATCTTTTCACTATTCCTTTATGTAATTGTAATCTCTCTGTATATGTGTATGTATATGTATATATGTATCTTATAATCTGTGAATGGGTTTTTGATTCGGTGATAGGGTTTTGGTGTGGAGGGCTCAGCAAGGGAAGTGCCAACTGGACCTGACCCTCTTCACCACCACAACAGTCCTTCCAGACCTTGATGGATCATCACCACCTCTCTGTGTGTCTGTGTGTGTTACATGTCTTTAATTTGACTGCTTAATTAATGGGGGTTTATATCATTTTCATTAGTTGTTCCACCTTTTTATTTATACATATTCTGTTATTGTACTAACTATATATATTGACTGCCATATATATCAATATATGGATTTGATTTTGTTGATTTTTAATTGAATTCTGTAATTCATTTGTCATAATTTGATTTGGTCATCACATCTCCAAGAAACACACACCACTGGTGTTGAAAATGCAAAGATGTGGAAAATTAACAGATAGACAAGAAAGTAACAGCACTGTTTTTGTTTGTAATTTACTGATAGAAGTAAGCATTTACAGAAAAGCTAGTTCTATGGTATATGATCATCTGTGTAACTGTGTTATTAATATTTTCACAAGAAGGATGGGTGTGGTATTGGCTACCCTTCTTCTCTTTCCCAAACACAACATTGACTCCAAATTCCTTTAGCTTAAAACTCCGACAGCTTCCATTAACTAGGATTCATCGGAAAAACACTGAAACATTCACTTCATCGCCAGTTTCCATTAATTGATTCACAAAATCCAAATGGCTTAACCATACCATCTCATTCCCGTCTTCTGGAACGCCCATGAATGCTGGGCTGTATGTATATCCATCCGCTTCAGATCCTTCGTTCTATTACTCACTTTAATCACGCATAAGTTATACCACTAAGCATTGATCGAATTATGTCTAACAGAATGTGCATAGACAACACATGCATTCAAGCCTTGGATCTTGAAATTAGGAAATGAAGGTACCTTAAAACATATTGAAGATCCCATGCTCTTCATGCTGAACCAGCCTGGAACTTCACTACCAGGGAGAAATGTGCTAAATATACCCAGTTCATAGAAATGTGTTAAAATCATAATTTTTTACTCTTACCGATATGAGAGAGACAGAGAGAGAACTCACCTGATGGGGAACTTTGCTTTCAGTTAACGCCATGTTATACAAAAAAGACACTTCAATATTTCTCAGGAATTCCAAGTTGGACAAGTCCAAATTGCCGATCATTGCTTCATCAAAGTTTCCAGTGGCTTCTAACTTGAACATTCTCTGAACCTCTGTTAGTTTCTCACAATTAACTGTCAATAAAAACAGCGAATTCAACAGGTTTGGTAGATTTGTTATCATTTCTAATGACCTGCACTCCAGGTAATCTCAATGACCTTAAACTCATTGGAAGCTCCGGAAGTAACTGGGGTTTTGGGCAGTTGTTTAGATCGAGTCTGTGGAGCATAGTGAGACCCTTATAAATTACAAAATACAGTGATTTTCTCTTTTTTTGGATTAAATTTGACAAAATTGAAGTGTCAGTTTTGGCCCGCTCATGTGATTTATGTTTAAGGTATTTTTATTCCTTTTTGAATTATTATTTCTCTACTTTTCATATCTTGTTTGAATTATTATTTCTCAAATAGTATTTTTTCAGTAAAAGAATTTGTTGCCCAAAAAATAAATATATTATTATACAAAGCAAATGCAAAACGTATGTAACGAGTATATCTCTTTTTTTTTTTTTTTTTGGCAAATGTAACAAATTCATAAAGGATTTTGTGGCTTGTTGATTAATTAACAGTGAAAGAGAGTTAGACGGTGACACATTTATCGTTGATTTCAATAGGTTTGGTGTACTTCTCATACCACTTCCGGTTACCTGCACCAAGCTCAATCCAAGTCCCGGCCATAGACTCATTGGAAGTTCTTAAGTAATTGGTGGCTTGTGCAATGCTCTATTACTAAGTGATTGCAGCTCAGAGACAGTGATCTAAAGTAACTTCTTGAGCTTTAGATAGCCAGCAAGAAACAAGAAAAATGAAAAATAAGTGTATCCGAAGTGATTGCAAACATCCGAAGTTTACTTTACATGTCAATCGGCAAGTGAATGCACACATTCGAAATTTACTTTACAATAAGTGTATCCGAAGTGATTGCACACATCCGAAGTTTACTTTATAGTCCAAGTGTATCCGAATGTCACCAGCTTAGAAGGTTACTCATAACATAAAAAATAAAAGAGGTACTTGTAGGAAGCTTTTAACAACTTTTTCTATTCGAAAAACAACTCTTTAATTCTCTAATGACTCATGAACATTAATCAAATTTATGCTGAAAGTAAGCCATTTTGCGCACCTGAATTCTGCCGTTAATATCAACCAGTTGGCTCAGGCCATTAAACTCGGGCATTCACTTCAGCTTAGAGTGTAAAGCAAGAAATCTACGTTATTAACATTTTGACAAGGAGTGCTTTGGAGTATGTATTTGTATATTAAAGGTCACTGTGAATCGAAAAAAAAAATGATATAGAGGTGTTACTGTCAGATCATCCTCAGCAATCATCATTGCTGCTCCTCCACATCGCCAGATAAGAAGTTATACCAAGTAGTCCAATCATAATTGCTGTCATCCGGTAAGCTTCGATGGAGGCTATAGTTGTAATGACAAAGGAAGTACAAACCTGTCCTCACCTGATACACCGACAAATCTACGTTATTAACATTTTGACAAGAAGGATAGGTGAGGTATGGGGTACCCTTCTCTTCTTCCTCAATCACAACATGGATTCCAAACTCCTTTAGCTTAAGGTTCGTTTCTTCTTCCTCAAAAAGCACTGAAATATTCACTTCATCGCCAGCTTCCATGAATTGATTCACAAAATTCCAATGGCTTAACCATACCATCTCCTTGAGGTCATCTGAAATGCCCATGAATGTTGGGCTGTATATCCACTTCAGATCCTTTGTCCTATTACTCACTTCAATCATGCAACACTCGGTCCAATAAGCATTTCTCCAATAAACATTTCTTGAATTACCAGAATGTCCATCAATTTGTGCATAGACAACACATACATTCAAGCCTTGGATCTTCATATTAGGAAATAAAGGTACCTTGAAACATATTGAAGATCCCATGCACTTTATGCTGAAGCAGCCTGGAACTTCACTACCAGGGAGAAAAGTGCTAAATATACCCAATTCATACAGTCCCTACAACATGAAAATGATCATTTTTAACTCTTACCGATATGTGTGTGTGTGAGAGAGAGAGAGAGACAGAGAGAGAGAGCTCACCTGGAGGGGACCTTTTATTTTAGTTCTAGTCATGTTATTCCACAGAGACACTTCAATATTTCTCAGGAATTCCATGTCGGACAAGCCCAAATTGCTGATCATTACTTCATCAAAGTTTCCAATGGGTTCTAACTTGAACAACCCCCGAACCTCAGTTAGATTGTCAGAGTAATTCATCAACAAATGCAGTGAACCCAACAGGTTTGGTAGATTTGTTATTGTTTCCAGTGACCTGCATCTTAATAAATACAATTCCCTTAAACTCATTGGAAGCTCCGGAAGAAACTGGAGTTTTGTGCACTTCTCTAGATCAAGAACCTCCAGCAGAGTGAGACACTTGATGCTCTCTGGAAGGCTACAGATTGGATTTTCACTTAGATCCAAGTCCTGCAACAGGGATAGGCAGCCAAGATCATTTGGAATAGCATCATTTGATAGGTTGCAGCCAACAAGACTCAAGCTTGATAATAAGCGTGGTAAAGAATACAATGAAAAGCTGATAGATTCGGGACTTCTTCTTGGTCCCAAAAGCCAATCCCGGAAGTGTGAAGGCCATGATCTAACCGCAGTAGTCATGGAGGGTGATTGACTTATGGCAACCCCATCAGCATGGAGTATTTTCAAAGATTCCATCTTGCTTAGCTCCGTAGGCAACTTCTCGAGCTTTAAACAACCAGAGAGAATGAGTATTTCAAGAGATTTTAGCTGGCCAATTTTCAATGGAAGCTTCCCAAGATTTTCACAACCTTTTAGATTCAAAAGAACTAGTCGCCCTAATTCCCCGATTGATTCATGAATCTCAATCAAATTTTTGCAATTTTTAAGAATCAATTTTTCAAGATTGGGGACTTGTGAGAAGTCAGGAGTATTGGTAAGACCATGGGAATGACTGAGATTGAGGATTTTCAACGATCTGAGTAACTGTATAAAAAAGTAGAAAATATTAGCATAACACACTTGACAACCAAAGCATTTTACCAAGGCACCACGCAATAGCCCATTTAGAAATTAATTTTATATGAATATAAATATCAATCACAAACGAAAAGAAAAATAGGAAAATAGTTTGTATCAGACCTTGTATCCAGTCCAAGCTTGTTTCAAGTTGCTATTGCGCATGTCAAGGGCAACCACACACTCCAGATGAAGGCCACTGGGTATAGATTCTAAAGGGAACCCACGCCAACACAACCATCTTAACTTACTAGGGAATTCTTCATAGTCTCCTCTAACCCTTGCATTATTCAGCTGCAGTAGTCTTAACCTCTGCATCCTTGAAAATGCATCAATTTGAAAATCTACTTCATTTGATATGGAATGCGATCTAATTGAGGAGGAATTTATAGGGAGCCCAGAGAAGAAGCCTAGACGACGCCGCTTCAATGAATTGTTTTCGGAAAGTAATGTAGGTTTGTCAAGAAAATCCTCTGAATGGTGTCTTTTTGCATTATTTAAACCAAAGAATTTCTCAATGGACCTATCTTCCTTAGACGCATTCAAGTTGAGGATGAGGCCTTCAATGGAATCTGTTCCCTGATAAGAGAACTTAAAAAGTAAGCACGCCAACTAAAAAATATACAAATAGACATCACGAGAAGCATATTTCTTACAGTTTTGTCATTTAATATGCTAAAGGCGTCCTTGTGATGCCACAATCTGCTGCGTTTCCCAGGCTCCTTGGGTGATTCTTGGCGTATGATTTCTCTCCCCATGTCCCGAAGCAACTGATGCATTGTCAGCTTGTTATATTCATCGATAGTTATGAGACATCTATCAATGAGATTGTGAATCCCAACTTTTGTGTAGAAACCACACTCATCTAGTATTGCAATTGTGAATTCTTTATCCTTTCTAACAAAGAAACAAGAAATGTCGAGGAATAAATTTCTCTCGTGGTCATCTTGTAAGGAATCAAAACTTATTTTAAGTTTTTTTAGGATCTGACTGTCAGGAATAACTTCCAATTTCTTTAATGTACCTTCCCACACATCTACAGGTCTGCCAGATAGAGAAGAACCCAACACTTGAAGAGCTAAAGGAAGCCCTCCACAGTAGCGTACAATCCTTTTTGAGTACTCCAAGTAAACTTCAATGGGATGGTCTTGTCCAAAGGCATGCCAACAGAAGAGCTGAAATGATTCATTCTCGTTTAGTTCCTTAACTTTGTGCATCTTATACCGTTCATGTGCCTTGAGTAGTTGCTCATGTCTAGTGGTTATGACAATTTTACTTCCTGGATAAAACCAATCTCGCATAATGAGTACTGCATTTAATTGGTCTAATTGATCTACATCATCAAGAACAACTAAAACTCTTTTACAGCAAAGAGCATCTCTAATCTTAATGATTCCTTCATCAACACAGCTAATTTTTTCTTTTCTCCCCTTTACAATATCTGAAAGAAGTCGTTTCTGTAAACTAACCAAACCATTGGGCTGTTCTGATATTTCTCTAATATTTGCAAGGAAGCTGCTACCTTCAAATCTGTCGAAGTTTAGGTTGTACACAGTTTTGGCAATGGTGGTCTTCCCAATTCCCCCCATTCCACAGATTGTCACTATGCCAACATCCGTTGATCCATCTTGTACCCACGAATTAATGTCTTTTACACGAGAATCTATTCCAATTGGGTATGGACCAACACTCAAAACTGTGCGATTCAACTTATTTCCAATCTCTCCAACAATTTTTTGAATAAAACGTGACTCTTGCCTGCAAAATGCAATGGAAATGGATAAAGTGCTATTTAAACGTCATCTATTATAATGAAACAACAAGTGATGATTATAAATATAAAATAAAACAAATTACATGGTGTTCAATTTTTGGCCATTACGACTCATATACAAGCATATAGACTGCTATATATTATGATAATCTCAAATTGACAGAATTACATAGGTTATACTATGTTAATGATATATAAGAGGAGGAGGAATATAAGAAAAAAGATAAGAATGTTCAAAAAATTCATACTCCAATTGAAATAACCAAGTTCATGAAAAGGAATTCATGTTTTTCACAATCCTAATGATATTTCCTTGTTTTAAAATTCATCTACTTCCTTGTTTTAAAATTCATCTACTTATTTTCCAGAATTTTTGCAACTACTGACTGTATTCTTTTGAAGTGCTTTTATATGATTTTAAACAACTTAAAATTTGAGTTACTGAAGAACTTTTAACTCAAACCCAGCTATACTTCTTTGTATCTTAATTCAAGATATGTATATAATTTATTTTATACATATTGTGGCCTTCACACACGCCTTGAGTTGTAAATAACAATGATTAAACATGTTGCTCGTTTTACCCTTTCATGTTCGATCCATCCTTTTTTTTCCCTTCTTTTTCATGCCATCCAACTAGAAATCTTCTTATGATCAAATCTATATATTAGTGGTATAATACATTTCACAAACTCATATAATAATTTTCTAGACTTAACATCCAGTATTTGGAAACCACTATACCACAAATTATGAAATAGGACAGTGATACAACATTGACTTTATATTACATATGCATATTGGATAGCAAGTCTTTTGCATCTACTTGAAGTCAAGCTTTCATATTTTATTAATACTTTGGCTAAAAGTATATATGTATATATATCATTTCAAAAAAAATGATAAATAATACATAGATAGTATTAATAGCGTTTCAATACATTTCGACTAGTTTAAAACATTGGCATTAAAAAATAATGTGAGAGTGGATAACATTAGCATCTAATGGAATGAATAATTTGAAAGTATAAATAAATAGTATTAACACTTTAAGAAAATTACACATCTCTTTTTTTGTTTTTTTGATAAGTAAGAAAATTACCCATCTCTTAAAACCATCCCTGCCATATCTGCAACTTCTTTCAGAGCTTCCTTCCACCTCTTTATCTTGTCCAACCCCGCCTCTTTTCTTTCTTCTGTCTCCATCTTAAATCGCTCTTCATGTATGGCAAATGCATCTGCAAAACTCCCTGTCTGCTTTCTTACATGGGACGGATCCACATGATAGAAGACTGGCAGAATCATATGACCAACAGTCTTGTTGTGCCCAAGGATATTCAAGAGCTCATCAAGACACCATCTTGAAGATGCATAGTTTTTTGAGAAGACAATTATTGAAATCCTCGACTCTTGGATTGCCTTATTTAGTTCTAGGGCGATATTTTGTCCTCTCTCCAGTGCATCATCGTCCCTAAATGTGCGTATTCCTGCATGTAGTAGAGCTGTATAAAGGTGATCAGTAAAGGTATTCCGCGTGTCATCACCTCTGAAACTCAAGAATGCATGATAAGAACATCGACTTGAGGAGGCATCTTGGGCTCCCATAGCAGCGATCAAACAACTCCCTTAGAGATCAATGAACAAGGGATATATGTAATCTGTGCAGGAACAACAAGTATTTGGGTATGGCTTCAACAAAAATAAATAAACAAACAATATTATATACTCAAATAAGCAAAGTCAATTAAATCCCATATGCGAACCATAGTACATAAGGAAAATGTTAAAGGATATGCTTTACTGAATTACACATGAGGCAATGGTTAAATGGAAACACACGTATCAAAAATCCAGACACGAAATGCTTCAAAGTGGCTTCACAAAGGATTTAGCACAACTCAACTCAACCAAATATCATCTCAATTATTTGCCGTATCTACATGACTCCCATTCCACCATTTGCTCTTTCTAGGATTAATTATAACTTCAATAAAACTACATGAACTCGTGTTAGTTTTATCTTCTTATGAACTCTTTATTTCTTAACTGACAAACATTCTCTCCCATAAAACATGACTAGGAACAACTGTTGTGTTTGGGAGCACCAAATTGGCTCCTATTTGTATTCGGTGCTCCCAAACTTAGCTAAAAATTTCCTTTCAACTTCAAAGACTGAGTTGATCACATAAAACATCATAATTTAAGCACTCGTCAACTTAACCAACATCATCCATCTTCAATCTTCCCACCTATTAAAGAATTGAGCCCAGGTAATAAAAACTCTTTTGGTATTTCTTGACCTACGGTTTTTATTACATCTCCTAAATTTATATATCAACTTTACTAAATTTATATATTCAATTTTAATCTTACTTATTTAAATTCCATACTTATTTTAAATTTAGTGTGGTTAATTCCTACTAGCTTAAACTTCCAGAAGAAATGGGATACTTGATTTGACACAGAGAGACAGAAATTTCAAGACATCAATATGTAGTTTCAGTTTTTTTCATGGATGCATACACTTGCAACAACAGATGAAACAGAAACAGAACATACACCATAATAAATAAAAAATTGATTAATGAACATACAAAATAAACTTGAAATGTAGAGCAATGGGTGTTCAATTGTAAAGGGTTACCTGTAATTAGCAAAATACACCAAGAAATGGATTGATCACTCCACTTAAAATTTGAATTTGTTCTTGTCACTGATGAGAGAGAGAGAGAGAGGGGGGGGAGAATCAAAAAGTGGAGCGAGAAAGAAGGGGAAGTGTCAAATGACAAAAGGGGAAGAAAAAGGAAAGAAAGAACCATTGGTGCGATCTACAGGGAAAGCGTCCTTGTAAGTGGAGCAACCTGAGTGGACTTTGATTAATCGGTCGATTTGTGACACGTGGTGTGACTCTATATTTTGAGATTTTTTAGTTATTTAATTTGTCTTATTATTTTGGAATATGTGATCGTCCTAGTCATCATAGGACCGACTAGAGTTCTTTAATCTTTCTTTTTCTTTTTTTTTTTCTTTTTTTCTTTTTTTTGACACCACTTTAATATTTCTTTGACCTCTATGTATAGGTATATATTCTTCCGAGACATGCTAGCTAGGCTGGCAATTATCAATAAACTTCATTAGTTGACCTAAATGCAGGGCAGAATTGGAATTTTTTTTAGTGGGGACAATTTTTTATTTATCTTGTAGTTGTGGTTTATGTTGGAAAATTTCAAGAGAGAGAGAGAGAGAGATTGATGGACATGTTAGACGACTTTTTCACAATAAAATATTCAAAAATCAGTTTTCAACTTGAATGACAATCTAAAAATTAAAAGGGCCATTTAATTACGATTCTTTTATATATATTCTGAATCTTTTAAAGTTTGATGGAAAAATTTAAAATTTTTAAGTGAGCAAAATAGGTATGCTTATGTAGTTGAATTTATGTTTATGATGTGGTGTCAAATAAATATATAATAAATGTCACTTCCCCGAAAAGATAGAATTTGTTCGGGTCACTGCTGAAGAGAGAAGAGAGATGCAAAACTGAGAAGTGAGAAAAAGAGGTGGACCTCATTCATAATGAGCTCCAACAAAATGAAGAATTATAAGTCGTGTGTGAACTTAAAAGAGGTGGACCTCATTCGTTGAAACTGTAGAATCTAACTTTTTTATTAAATTCTCATTATCAAATGTTCTACGAATGAGTTTTACGTGCAATTGCCATAACACTCTTTCTTTGGATACAAGGAAAAATAATAATAATAATAATAATAGTTAATAATAATGGTTATAAAAAAAATAAAAAAATAAAGAATAATAATAATTTATATTAATTTTTAAATAAATAGGAAAGAAAAGAAAGAAAATATTAATATTTTTATTTGGATGAGATGGAGGAAAAAAAAAAGAAAAAAAAAAAAGTTAGCGATCGAATAACTATCATATCCTTTATCTAAAATTTTAGAAGTTGTTCAGTGTTATAATTTTAAAGGTTAATTTTGGCATTTTGAAAGTATCACTAGCCTACCTTCCTTTTTCTTCAAATCTTCTCATTTTTTGAGGAATAAAATATGAGAAATTTGGAGACTAGTCAATCCTTTCTTTTTTTCATTAAATCCTTTCTTTTTTTTCATCAAATCCTTTTATCCAAACACAACATTCATTATTCTTTCTTTTCTTTCCGTATCCCCCCAAATCCTTCCATCCCAATGATGCCTCAATAGAATACTAAGACAGTGTGTTTTCAAAAAAATGTTCTAATTCTATGGATAGCTTTTTAATGCTATATAAAAAAATATAAAAAATTCTTTTATGATACATAAAATAAATGAATATGCATAAAGATTACTTATTATTTTTCTTTATTTTAAATTTGAATTGATGAGAATTATTTGTTTATTCTTAATAAATCACAGAACTTTTTGGTTTCTCTTTATTTTGATTAAGTTTAACCAAATTGAAGTGTCTATTTTGATGGACTAATGTGATTTTATGTTCACTAATTGCGGAGAAAGGAAAGGAGCAAAAAAGGAGGAGTGATAAAGCGAGAAGGGAAAGCGCCAAATTATAAAAGGGCTGGAGGGGAAAGGAAAGAACCATTGGTTGAATCCACTGAGGAAGCTTTCCTGCAACTGAATAGCTTGTGAACCCCGAGTTAATGACTTTGGTTGAAATTGTGCTTTAGAGTTTATATTAAAAATATTTTCTATGTCACCTCAAATGTTTAATGGATAGCTATTTAATGCTACAAACACTTTCTTTTCTTTACATTTCCTTTTATATATATATATATATATATATATATATATATATAACAGTGAGAGTTAATTGTTATTTATGATAAATCCCAGCATGAAGCATTTTCTATTTATTTTGAACAAATTTGACAGAATTGAAGTGTCAATTTTGATAGGCTACTTCCTAGTATGATTGTATTTTAAAGTATATTATTATTATTATTTTTGTAAGATTATTAAGAAGTGCAAGGTGATGATGTGATGTCTTTCGGACTTCTTATTCTTTAAATGTATTTATTTATTTATTATTATTATTATTTTTTAAGCCGTCTTCTAATAGCTAGGATTTTTTTGTGTACGTTGTGAGGGGGATTTCTTTTATTGTTTATTCATGATCATCCATTTTGTGTGTGTAATACATGATTATCATGAATGCGGTTATTGTGATATAAACTTGTTTCCTCGATTGTTTAATCCAGAGTTAAATACCAATTCATGGTGAGATATCTGGATGAACTATTTAATATTTTATTTTTAGTATGTTCATATAAGACTGGATAGACTTAGTACGATATTAATAAAGTTGCCTCCACAATTATGTTAGAGTTTTATAATTGAATCTTTCTTCGATTCCAAATTTTCGGAATTTAATCCACCCAAATGAAGAAATAAATAATTATATTTAATTTTTTAATCTGAATGAGTAAAGGTGAAATTTAAGGTTTGCTTGATTTGTAACTTTGAAATTTAAGAACATTGAAGCCAAACCCAGTGGCTAATTTTATTTAGCTTACATTTTTATATCTACTTTCAGCCTTTTTTTATTTTTTATTTTTATTGATACATACACTTGAAACATTGGGGCAGGCCATCTTTGGATATGAGTCAGTGCACTGTACTAACTCTGATCCAACTAAAAAATATAGACCCCCTTGACTTTCACTTCCTAGCAAAAAAACCCATTTATTAATTGTTTTAGCCAAAAAAAAAAAAAAAAAAACCCCACATGAGGAGGTATTCTAACTAACATCCATTTAAGTAATTTTTTAGGTAATTTTTTTAACCAAATTACCCCTCAATGTTCATTGAAATAGCCAAAGCCTATCTCCACTGGCTGCTCTCTCCACGAACTAGCCCTTCCCACCTCAATGTTCACTGTCAATCACGGACACGAGGCACAACGTGGCGACAACAGGGAAGAACTCTGGCTATGTACATGCAGTGAGTTGCAGACTGGATGGTGGAGAGCTCGGTTGTGGCGGTGCAGCAGCGGTGGCTAGTGCGGCTGTGGAGGGAAAAATTCCCCTCCAGTAAGAGTTGTCCACGTCATCACAATACAAATTTATACTTTTAATCATTTGATAGATTGTAGAAGCCCAATCCGGGTCGAGCCCAAATTAAGTCTCCTTTTAACCCAAGATTGTTGGTGCTAGACTTTCAGCCCATTAATCAAGCTCAGCAAGCCCAAGATGTATTCAGCCCAAACTATTTGGGAGTAAATGAGTCCTACCAAGCGAAAGATCCTACGTGAAAGGAAAATTCTACAAAAGGGAAAATTTGGCATGGAGATAATTGAAAAAATGCAGTAACTTAATTAGTAAAGAATTGTATATGGAATAAATTGGAGGACAAGCAAGGCAAGTGCTACCATAATTCTACCATCTTTTTGTATATAAATAGAGGCCTAAACTTCCAATAAAGATCATCGAGCAATATACGTTTTTCTCTGAGTAATTCTTGTTATTTATTAATTTATCTTGAGTGAGTGGTATTATTTCTTTTAATTTCTTTTATTAAGAGAAATTTTACAATTACACTTTGGTGCCGTCTTTGGGAACCGTAAAGAAATATACTCCCACAAGTGATTCAAATTGTTTATGTTACTATGATCTAGAATGTCAATCAGATGATCCGCAGCAGCAGCTGATCAACAGATGGAGTTAATGCAGAAGATGCGAGAAAAGTTCCTGCACCAATTTGAAACGCTTCGTCAAGCGAACGAGGCTAGCACAGCTCAGATTTCGTTGCTTCAGCAGAAGAACGATGCCCTCCAAACAGCTATGGTCCAGATAACACCGCAACCACCAACAGGTGATATAGCAGCACCTCCCCCCAACCAGAACATTCCTCCGGTTAACGAACCTCAAGCCAATAAGGTACGGCCTAACGAAGTTCGGCAAGAGCAGAGGACGAGAACCGAAGTGGTCACTTCGGGCAATCATCCTTATCGCATGCAGGACGAATAAGCCGAGTCTAGCCGTAAGCTTACGGTATGGTCTAATGGCATTCCGGATGGTGCTGGCGTCTAGGAAGCCTTTGATGAAAAAAGGCTCCTGAGGATTCAGACACCTGCCGAGATGGCCAGGGGGCATAAGAACTCTCTAGTGAAGACTTCGTTCACCGATAATAAATACTTTGTTGACAGACCTAAGAAATTCACTATGCTTTCTTTCACTTAGTTTGATGGCACAAAAGATCCTTCCCGTCTTCTCGATCACTACTCGCAAAAGATGGCTCTAGATAATCACAATGATGCGTTCATGTGTAAAGTCTTCCGGACCAGCCTAACGGGAGCTGCATTAGAGTGGTTCAAGAATAGGCCGCACAAGTTCGTTCCGAATTATGAAACTTTATGTGCTATGTTCCTAGCACAATATTGCGGAAACAAGAAACATAAGAAGTCTATTGCTAGTCTCTTTACTATAAGACAGAAGAGAGGAGAAACGTTACAGGATTTCCTGTCCAGGTTTAACATGGAGGCCTTAGAGATAGCAGATTGTCATCTTGAGACTGCTATAGAAACATTCAAGATCGGTATGATTCAGGGAACTAAGTTCCATACCTCCTTTGTCAAATATTCTCCTCTGGACATGCAAACTCTCAATGATATGGCACAAGTTTACATTCGATTGGAGGAGAATGTAACCTACCGGGCACAACATGCCACCCTTGTCACGGTAGAAAATAAGCCTCGAGAAAAAGTTTCGAGTTCAAAAAGTCAAAGAAGCCAGCATGCCTCAGCACCGGTCGCTCAGGTACCTGAGAAGAGGCAAAGGACAGGGAGAGGTTCACACTTCTTCGTACAACCCTGGCTTGACTATTCCAAGAAAACAAGGTAAGATTTACAGCCCCTCAGCCAATGAGGCAACCCTTAGAGCAAAGGGACAAAAATAAACACTGTGCCTACCATAGGGATTACGGGCATACAACCAACGATTGTAGGTCCCTTAGACGGCAAGTGGAAAACATGATAACCAAAGGTGAGTTACCAGATTACCTTACATCAAAAGAATACGTGAAGTCTAAGGAGGTCAATCCTCAGAAAATAGAGGGCAATCAAGTAAAAGTCATTCATGCAATACATAGGAGATCAGAGGATGACCAAGAGTCGGAAGAAGTGTACCGATCCAGACTGAAGGCAGCCCACAAGCTATGGAAGTTATCCTCGGTAAACACTATCGCTTTGGGCAATATCAGTATTGGGTTCGGCGATGGAGATTTATCCAGAATTCAACTTCCCCACGAGGATCCACTAGTCATCAGTCTTCCGGTGGCAAATTGCATGATCAAAAGAGTTTTGGTAGACTCGGGTAGCAGTGCTAATATTATCATAAAGGCGGTCTTTGAGCAACTGGAGATCCCATCATCATCAATTCGGCCCACTTCTAGTCCTTTGATGGGGTTCGATGGCACAAAGGTGGACCCCATTAGGGTAATTGATTTATCTGTTACTATGGCGAAAAGGACATTGAAGGAAAACTTTGTTCTGACAGAAATCCATCCTTCCTATAATCTCATTATAGGAAGAGGTTGGATCCACCGAATGAATGAGGTCCCGTCTACCCTTTATCAGGTGATGCGATGCTTGTCTCCGAACAGTAAAGAGGTTATTAATCTTTGGGGAGATCAGGTCGCTGCCAAAGAATGCTACATACTGACATTGAATGAGGCAAAAAAGAGGATCAAGCAGTACCAGCCAGATGCGACCCCCGAAGGTATTTCCAAATAGCAATTACAGAGCCCTCTGCCCAAGTATTTGAAAGCAGAGGAGGAAGCCAAAACTACAAAGCCTATCGAGGAATCTCTCGAAACCGTCGAAGTTGTCTTCGGCGATCCTCAACAATCACTTATATGAGCTCTTCTCCCACATCCAAGGAGAAGGGGATATTAATTGATGTCATCCGACGGAATGCAGATGTGTTTGCTTGGGATCATTCAGATATGCTTGGAATCATCCCTTCGATCTCATGCCATAGCTTGAAGGTGGATCCGGCATTCAAGCCGGTTAGGCAAAGACACAGAAGATTCGTTCCTGAGCACAATCGAATCATTGCTGAAGAAGTAAGCAAGTTGCTTCAAGCAGGTTTCATCCGAGAAGTGCATTACCCACAATGGCTCTCGAACGTAGTGGTAGTTTAAAAGAAGAATGGAAAATGGAGAGTTTGCATAGATTTTACTAATCTCAACAAGGCTTGCCCTAAGGATAGCTTCCCGTTGCCTAAGATAGATCAGATGGTTGATGCTACCACTGGTTATGAGAGACTCACATTCCTCGATGCGTATTCCGGATATAATCAAATCCCTATGGATCCATAGGACGAAGAAAAAACCGCCTTCATTACAGAGAAGGGCACTTACTGTTACAAAGCCATGCCCTTCAGGCTTAAGAATGCTGGGGCAACTTACCAATGTCTCGTTAACAAGATCTTCAACGAGATGTTAAGAAAAACGGTCAAAGCCTACATCGATGACATGGTGGTTAAAAGCGTGAAGAATGAGGATCATCCCAAGCACTTCCAGGAAGTCTTTGACACTTTGAGAAAGTATAACATGAAGTTGAATCCTTCCAAGTGTTCTTTTGCGGTCTCTTTAGGACAATTCCTCGGCCATATCGTCAACAAGAGAGGAATAGAAATAATCCCGGCTCAAGCTCAGGCCCTCATACAGAATCAGGAACCAAAAACTCGCAGGGAAGTACAAGTTCTAGCCGGCTGAATCGCAGCTCTTAGCCGCTTCATATCTTGTTTGTCAGATAAGTGTAAGCCATTTTTTGATGCCATAAGATCAAAGAATAAGGACTTATGGGGACCTCAACAGCAGGAAGCACTTAATCGGTTAAAGTATTACATGGCTAAACCACCAATGTTGTTTACTCCGAAGCCTGGTGAAGCCCTCATCATGTACTTCACAATCTCCAGTATAGCTACTAGTGCCATGCTAATCCGAGAAGAAGGAAAGAATCAGTACCCAATCTTTTACACAAGTAAGACGATGACAGATGGTGAAGCAAGATATAGCAAAGCAGAGAAGATCATACTAGCCTTGGTGTATGCAAAGAGAAAGCTTTAACACTATTTTGAGTCTCATAGCATCGTGGTCCTTACCAACTACCTTATGCAAGCTATTCTTTCCAAGCCAGATTTATCTGGAATAATTACTAAGTGGGCAATTGAACTGAGTTCCTTTGATATAGCATATGAACCAAAGGTGTCACACAAAGGACAGGCGTTAGTCGATTTTCTCTTGGAATATGAGGATAAACCTAAAGAGCCTGAGTTTTCTGAACCACAATGGGAGCTTCGGGTAGATGGTTCCTCAAATCTAACCAATATAGGGGCTGGAATCGTTATTACAATCCCTGAAGCCACCAAGCTACAACAGTCAATCCATTTGGATTTTCCTACCACTAACAACGAAACCGAGTATGAGGCCTTGCTCGCCGCGCTTTGGTTAGCGAACCTACTCCAGGTAAGGTGTCTAAAGGTTTTTAGTTACTCCCAACTTGTTGTGAATCAGGTGACAGGCAAGTATCAGCCCAAAGAAGAAAGAATGAAAGCATACAAGGAGGCTATAAAAAGTGCTACACGCAGATTCGATCAAATCCAATTCTACCAAGTACCTTGTTAAGAAAACTCCGAAACAGATCAACTGGCCACCGTGGCATTTTCCTCAGACGAAGATTTGGTCTGGATAGTGCCTATCGACAACCTGGAAGAACCTAGCATAAGCCTTCAGTTGGAGATAATGGTGATCCCGGACATTCCACGAGAACCATGCTAGATGGACCCGTTAGAAGCTTACCTCAAGTACGGAACTCTTCCGAACCAAAAAGTCGAGGCAAGGAAAGTAAGGTTCGCCGTAACTAAATACTCTATTATTAATAACCTACTATACGGAAAATTATTTTTCAAGTCTTTACCTGAAGTGCTTAAGCCCCACTGAGGTCCTTACGATATTAAAGCAAATTTATGACGAAAATTGTGGCAATCACTCCGGCGGCAGATCCCTCGCACATAAGGTCTTAACTCAAGGTTATTTCTGGCCCTACTTGGCTCGAAACGCCGAAAAATATGCTAGGAGATGCTACAAGTGTCAGCGACATAGCCCAATGAAGCATCATCCTACTGAAGATATGCACGCAATGGCAAATCCATGACCATTCCCACAATGGGGGATTGATATGGTTAGACCTTTACCCAAAGCTGTGGAGTAAAAGGAATACGTGTTACTAGCCATGGATTACTTCACAAAGTGGGTAGAGGCAGAGGCTTATATAAGTGTGACCCATGAGCAAATAAAGAGTTTTCTCTGGAAGAACATAATCTGCCGATTCGGAGTGCCGAAGGTTATTATGATGGACAACAGTAAGAACTTGGACAACAGAAGTACAAGAAAGTTTTTCGCCGAGCATGGAATTAGGCAGAAGTTGGTCGCGATTAGTCATCCACAAGGGAATGTGCAAGCTAAAGTAACTAATTGAACCATCTTCAACTGTATAAAGAAAAAGTTAGAGCAATTCAAGTCAAAGTGGCACGAGAATCTGCCTAAAATACTTTGGGTATATCGAACCACCCCACAACGACCAACGGGAGAAAGCCCCTTTGCAATGGCTTATGGGTCCGAAACTATCATCCCTACGGTATTTGCAATCCCAACTCTTTGAACACATTTGTTGCTCAAAGGAACAATGATAAACAGCTAGAGCATAGCCTTGACCTCTTGGAGGAGAAGAGGGATGCCACAGCAATTAGGCTCGCTTCATACCAACAACAGTTGCATAACAGTTATAACAAGCGAGTCAGGTTCAAAAGCTTTGTAGTAGGCGATTGGGTGCTGAAGTAAAAAATACCACATGTAAAGAAGTTACAACCCAATTAGACCGGACCCTACAGAGTTAAAGAAGTGGTATAGAAAGGAGTTTACCGATTAGCCGAAGCTAATGGGCAAACAATTGCACGCCCATGGAATGCAATACACCTTAAAAGGTATTATCAGTAGACAATATAATCAACTTGTCTTTATATAAATATGGCTACTTATGGCCCACATAATAAAGATTTTTATTAACTACATCTCTTTGTACCCTTTTTCTAAACTCCTAATGCGGAAGTAAATCGGATACACGAACGGTTGATTGATCCGTGCATCCAACGGTCACCATTATGTTAGATATTGATGTGGGATACTACTTATTACTACTTTCTTTTTCGTCATAAGGGGCAACACATATACCCTATTATTATACCCTACTATTGATATTGCGATACACATATACCCTACTATTGATATTACGACAAAAGAAACTATATTTTTAGCTTTTTAGTTGTACTTTTATCCCACATCGGTAAACTATTATTCTACAAATCCTTTTACATAGAGGCATACTTAAGCATTAACGTATATTACAAAGAGTACCCATTGAGGCATGTATTTAGGCCATATATCCAAAGGACACTCTTTGTAATATTTTCCCTCATGTTTTGAACACAAAGCCCAAATGTATTTGGCCCAAAGCATTTATTTTGTGGTGGTCCCACATCAATTAGACATAGCCTTAAGCTTTCCTTTATATAATGAACAGTGACAGTATTGGATATATGGCAAAGAAGGCCTGCTGGTAATCAATAGTACCAGCGGGCATTCTTTACAATAATTCTCTCTTTTTTAAGCCCAGACTATCTAGCCCAAAATACAAATTCTACTTTTGTCCCACATCGACTAGAAATAAGAAGAGTGTGTAGTTAATATATTCATGGCTCTCCATATCTAGCTGCCACAAGGAGAGTCTCTGTGGAGGATAGTCTCCCAGGAAAATGCATGGGAGACTTCCCAGTCACGGTAACTCTTTTTCGTGGCCTTATATCATTTTTGAATCTTCAGCCTATAGGCTTATCTTACATACGTGGTATCTTTTCCACCTTAGACCTCGAACCTCAAGAGTCCGATACAATACAGTTCCTCTTAGGCTCCTAGCCAAGAAACTACATGCCTCGGACCTCAAGGGTCCAGTACAATACAATTCCTCTCAGACTCATAGCCGAGGAACTACATGCCTCAGACCTCAAGAGTCCGGTACAATACAATTCTTCTCAGGCTCCTAGCTGAGGAACTACATGCCTCGGACCTCAAGGGTTCGGTACAATACAATTCCTCTCAGGCTCATAGCCAAGGAACTACATGCCTCGGACCTCAAGAGTCCGATACAATACAGTTCCTCTCAGGCTCCTAGCCGAGGAACTACATGCCTCGGATGTCAAGAGTCCGGTACAATACAGTTCCTCTCAGGCTCCTAGCCGAAGAACTACATGCCTCGGACCTCAAGAGTCCAGTGCAATACAATTCCTCTCAGGCTCCTAGCTGAGGAACTACATGCCTCGGACCTCAAGAGTCTGGTACAATACAGTTCCTCTCATGCTTATAGCCGAGGAACTATATGCCTCGGACCTCAAAAGTCCGGTACAATACAATACCTCTCAGGCTCCTAGCCGAGGAACTACATGCCTCAGACCTCAAGAGTCCAGTACAATGCAGTTCCTCTCAGGCTCATGGCCGAAGAACTTACCACCTCAGACGCTAAAAGTTCGAGGTTACGTCAGTAGGTCTGAACCCAAATGGGGGTAAATATTCTTTATGGCTGTCACACTTACAGGCCCCCATACTTGGCCCAATAGTGTACAACCCATTAAAAGTTTTGTCCCACATCGAAATAATACAAGGAAAAACAAGCAT